TTGGAAGCCTTACTAGGGTTCACGTAGAGAACAGCAGTTGGAAACGGAGGCTTTTGCGTGATGGGGAACCCAAAGTCAATTTTGTTGGTCTCGTTTTGCCTCCGGGGCACGGCGAATATAAGCGCATATAGTTAAAAGTTACGAAATTGAACGTAGCTTGAGTCTAAATCCCACAAAGATCACTGCCGCTACCTTGCACATCTAGTCTCTTCTTACCCCCAACCTTTAACTCCTTTCCAGTTAAGCCACAGAGCCTTTTTACCTTAGTGATGACACGTGTGTGCTTAACTCTTCCGGTGTTCTCATATCGTGTAGTAGTAGTCTCCCTACGCTCATCTGCTAACCGGTTTTTCTGAATCTAAATGCTACGCACATATGATATATTCCGGTAAAGACTACAAAAGTAGTTTTTGGGTTTAACTCTTCGATCGGTCAGCATTTTTAGATGTTCACTTCGCGGTACTCAAAGGCTAGCTTCTACTCCAACAAGGACTTTAATCAGTCAGCCATCATCATTAATTTAATTGTAGGATTGGAAAACTTGTAGCCCTTACTACGCAAACATATGGATCTTAGAAGTTAAGCGTCCGCCGCGTTAACCACTAGAACACACAAGGCACCTGTTTTCTCCCAGTTCACATCGTTTTTACCTGTCTACAGGATCTCCGCTCATGGGTTTTCCTGGTCATTTCTCCCAGTATGTTTGAGGTAGCTCCAATGCTGAGTGTTTGGGAACTTCGGCCATTTAAGATTGTTTATCCGTCATCTTCTCAACGGCTAGATTGATATCTTTCAAAAATTCATGCCCACACTTTTTTTTTCATCAGCTTGCTCTCTAGGTGCACTGGTCCACTCTGAATCACTGAAAACTCCCGCTTTTGTTTTTTGCTGTCCTCGTTCACTGCAGCTGCCTCTACTTTCTTAAGCAAGTCATTTCTTCGGGAAGGTGGGGTAGCTTTCTCGCTAGCGTTTGGCAGCTAAAAACACTAGAATGAAAAATGACTATTATTTGGATCCCGGACGCTTTATATGACCTTTATGGCACTTTTGATATCCACCTGATCCTTCCCTCTCTGTGGTACATGTTAGACTACTACTCGCGCCACAACACCTTATTCACAGCCGGCTGGACCCGAACGGCCCCGTGTGAAGTGGGTGATTGAAGCCGATCCAACTCTGATAATACACGTGAGTACTCGCGGGGTAGTGGGTTTACAGTTAGAGAGACAAAAGGTGGTCTGCAGCGGGTTCTTTGTCGTAATCCCGTTCATGTGAGATCAGTTACCGCAAATCAATACCTGGCACGTGTAACTCTAGGGTATAACCCTAAATTTACTTGGTCTTACTATACGGGATGTTTAGTTTTTTTTTCGGCGTCAAAATCATTGCTCATTTCCGGTTTTATTGAAT